TATTTGTGCCATTTGTTGATTATATATGTCCTTTGATACATTCCCTTCTGATGACGATGTAATTAGCTTTCTTCTAATAAAAGGCACTCTGAAGGAACAGAGAATTTGCCACTTTGCCCAGACAGTAGCCTTTGTGTCTTATTGGGGAACCGTCTAAGGAATTGGATCGCAAAGTGGACCGCTGGTTGAAGGGACCCCCGCAATCCTTGCGGGCGCTGTCTCTTCAATAAGACACACATTTTTCCTCAAAAAAGAGGCTGAAAATCTGGGTGCATCTTATACATCGAATACAGCATTTTTTGCCTCCCGAAGCCCTGCCCCCTTCACCAAAATGGCTGTGCATCCCCTTACGGAGGCTTTCAGAGAGCTCCTGGGGGCTGGGGAGGGCAGAAATGAGCAAAAAATGGGCCATCTCCCCCCTCCAGCCCCCAGCAGCACTCTATAAGCCTCCATAAGGGTAGGCATGCAATTTTTTTGACAAAAAACAGGCCTGTTTTCGTGGAAAATGGGCCATTTTTTGCTTGTTTTGAAGGAGCACTCTGCAAGCCCCCTCCTCCCCGGCTATTTATGCCTTTTTTAAAAAGAAACAGGCCTGTTTCTGCAAAAAACAGGCGTTTTGGGGAGATTTGCAAAGAGCAAAAACTTTTTTTTTCCTTTTGGAAAACTGATTGATGAGAATTACATTGATCAAATGTTGTGCCAGCAGAAACAAAGTTAGGTGTTGCAGATTTTCAGTTGTTCTTACCTGAACTGCATATCTCGAAGGTGGCGTGGGAGTACTCACAACTGGGTATTAACAGAGCCCTTTTGCCCGGAGACTGAGGTAAATCTTGAGGCCACACCTCCACTCCTCCTCCTGACTTTCCCAGATTAACCGATGGGAAGGAAGGGACAGAGAAACACACACACACATCCTTCTGCTCGGTCCCTGACTGATCAAAACTGAACTAGCTCAGGCCCCTAGTGCGGGGTGCCCTAACAGGTGGGAAGTGATTACTCCCACGCCACCTTCGAGACATGCAGTTCAGGTAAGACCAACTGACANGCCACTCCCATCTGGTCACATGGGTGGCAAGCCACTCCCACAAAAGAGGCCACACCCACAGAGTAGGTTCGAACAATTTTTGAAACCCACCACTGCTGCTGCTCCATTGGAAAAAGAAACCTTTTCAGCTGCCTTTAGAGTTTATTTTCCATCTCCTTTGTCAACTGCCAGGGTGGATCTGTGTCTAAAGAAGTTGTTTTCATGGGTTGAAAATAAGCCCCAGTCCACCTTCCTAAAGCAGATGGGGCTTCAATGCAAGTGAAGACCTATATGGCTTTTAAGCACAGCAAATGCCTTTCCTCAGAGACGGGGGGGGGGAGGGGGAGAGAGAGACGGCCTGTTTTTTCTTCTTCTTTACTATATACGCTTACAGGGATTTAAATAGAAAAAACCGCCACTATTCATACCACCCGGTAAAAAGCTGCTTCCTTTCCTTCTGATCCCTTGAAACACCGTTTTTCTCTGGTTCTCCCCCAGACCTGTTTTCTAGCACAGCTCTGCTCTATTTTCTAACAATTCCTGCCCTGCTTCCCTTCCCCCCTCTCGCAGCTTTTCAGAGAGAGAGAGGGGAAGGGAGATGAGAGGGAGAAAAAAAAGAGGAGAAAGGGAAGGGGATAGAAAGGGGGAGGGAATGAGGGAGTTTAGAGGAGGGAAGAAAGGGAGGGAGGGGGGAGAAAGGGGAGAACGAGGGAGTTTGAGAGGGGGAGGGGAAAGAGGAAGGGAAGGGCAAAAGGGAGGGAGGGAGAAAGAGGGAGGGGAATAGACTGAAGAGGAATATAGGGTGCTCAAGGGTGGGGGAGAGACCAGTACAGACACAAGTACCCGCTTCCCCCCTTCCAATCCCCCCCCAACTCACTGAAATATCCCATGCTTCTCTTCCCTCCCCACAGTGGCTTAGGTCATTTCCCAACCAGCCCTTGCACCCACTCAACCCCGTCACTGATTGCTCTTTACCTTTCCAAGATCCGCAGAGTTAAACATGTCCGAAAAGGGAAGGAAGAGAGGCCTCTCCATTGTGTGCCCGTCCGTCCTTTTCTGAGACGCTGGCTAATTTCCCGGCTAGTTGCCAGCCTTCCCTCCATCCAGCGAAAGCCGCTTGGCTCCCAGTCGCTTATCTGCTGACTCTCAAAATGCCCCTTTTCTCCGGTTGCTGAGTGGAGCTTCATGGCGGAAAAAGGGGACAAAACGCCAACGCTCGGTTTCAGTTCCCCC